GGTGGTAGAACCTTTAGGAGGTGGGGCCTATTGGAAGAAAGTTAGGTCTCTGGTGGACACGCCCATGAAGAGGTTATGAGAACCCTGGCTGTTGGCTCCTCTCTCTTTTTGCTTCCTGGTCACCAGGAGGTGTGCAGTTTTTTCCACCACATGCACCCTACCATGTCTTGCCAGTGGCCCAAAGATAACAAGGTCAAGTGACCCTGGACTGAAATCTCTAAAACCATGATCCAAAATAAACATTTCTTCCTTATCAGTTGATTTTGTCATAGCAATGGAAAGCTAATACAAATGAAGAGGTTGCTGGTCTCAACTTTGAAATTTAGTAGGAAAAAGTTGGGTTTCAAGATCCAAGAATAATCCTCTGTGGCTTAATGATTTCTATAGAAGGAATGCTCATATCTCCCCAAATTTCATGTATTGAAATCCTACATGTAGGATTTTTCATGTATTTCATGATTTTCATGTATTGAAAACCAATATGATGGTATTAGGAGGTAAAGCCTTTGGTAGGTGATTAGGAGCCCTCATGAATAGGACTAGTGCCCTCAAAAAAGAGATCCTGAGACCTCCCTCACCCCTCTGGCATGTGAACCTGTCCTCACATGTTATCTATGAATTGGAAATAATAAGTCCCTCTCCAGATATGGAATCCACAGCAACTGGATCTCGGACTTATCCTCCAGAATCGTAATAAAAGTTTCTGTTATTTATAAGCTATTCAATTAAGGTACTTTGTTATAGCAATCTGAATGGACTAGGATAATCCTCCACTTGCTTAAATCCCAACTCCAGCCTCCGGTTTTGCAGCAATGTCTCCATCAGTCTCTGTAGCCATGGAGGCAACTCAGTTTCTGGGCTACCTTTAGTGGCCTTGCTGGCCTCTGTACCAGTTCTATCTTCGGTGTCATTCTTCTTTTCTCTTAAAGGATAGCATGTATCTGCAGTTGTGTAGGTCTATAAGCCCATTTCTGCCTGTAGAATTCCAGAAGTCATGTTTCATCTTTCTGAGTTCTGAATTTTTTTTATCCTCCTTAAGGCAGACTTCTCCACTATAAAAGTGTAAAGGTTATTTCTCACTTTCTTACAGGGCTTGAAACTCTGTTTTATTGTAACCATTCCTTCTAAAATTTTCTTTGGTACATTGCTTAAAGACGAAAATTGGTTTCCCAATCAAAAGCCAGTTATTCAGTACCATTGATCAGGGCATCATTTACCTGTGATATACCAGTTTTGTCACATGTGTACACATTTAATACCATTTTTACAACATTCTATGCCTCTGTCTCTGTGTATACACACATACACACACACACACACACACACACACACACATGAGACTCTGAGAATATATATATTCTTCCAGCCTCTAAGTACTCTTGTGAGCTCTCACTCTCAGCTGATAGCTAGAAAACTGCTACTCAGCTACCCTGGTATGAATTTATTCTGTAGCATGTGATATTTACTCAGTAATCACCACTCTTTCAATTATTTTGTGTTCTGGAGGAAACTTTGTCCCAAATGACTGATTTAGTGTGTGAAAATAATAATGTTGGACAGGCTTCATATAAATAAGAAAATAGTGTTATAATGGATCTTAGAGGCTTTGAAGAGGTTTTTGTAAAGGTACATGCCAGTGTGTGTGTGTGTGTGTGTGTGTGTGTGTAATAAAGAAAGCAGAACATTGAGATTCATCAAGAATCTAGTTATTGACAAGTGACATCTGACATTACGAAGTCCATCATAAATAGCACCATGATCTGGATAGACTAACCATTATGTGAAGATACGGGGAAAAAACATGGCAAAAGCTCATTCCCCACTTTAAGAATCTGAATAGACTATAGGAATGATTGCTAAGGCAGGATATCAGGAAAATATGTCCACAGGGACTCTGTGATAGTCATTCTCCTGCTAAGTTGATTTAGTTATGCACATTTTTCCAGTAATACTGTCAGTCCCTCCATTAGATAGGGTACATATACACTACATTCCTGTAAGTATACACAGGTCTATTTCAGGAATCAAAACTGTACTATTATGTTCTGCATCTATCCACATTTCAATACTATAGCTTTATGTTTTAATATATTGTAATGAAAATATTTTCAGGAAGGTTGCAACTATTTTTGCTCACATATTTTCCGAGATGAACTTTAAGAAAAGCTTTTCAAATTCTCTTTTAAAAAATCCAGTTAGGATTTCAGTTAGGTTTATACTGACTAGATGATTTGAGGAAACTGTCAGGATTGCAATATTATTATTCCTATCCAGGTTCCAACTGTATTTACTCAGGTCTGTCCTACATCTTTTAGTAAATGTTTTATCATGTAAGTCCTACAGTTTTATGGTTTATATCTAGTCATACATTTTATTGCTTAAGGATGTGGAAACATTTTTTCAATTATGTTTTGCTGGTATTTAGAAAAGATGACGATTTTATTTATCTTACATATAGTCACTGTACAGATTTCTTTTATGAATTTGGCAGGTTTTGATGCTTGGACTTTTTGTTGACAGTCATGGCATCTGCAAATAATGTAAGATTTGCCTCTTTCCTTTTTCTACTAATACATCTAACTCTTGCTTTTTTAAAAAAATTGTTTTGTGCCCATAGGCTTGGAAATTTAATTTTAATGAAAATATTTTCAATGTTTCATCATTAGGTATGTCTCTATAGGTATCTAGTCTCTATAGGTATCTAGTAGATTTTTTATCAGGGCGAGTACACTTATTTTATTCCTGTCTTATTAAGAGTTTTGTTTTTCTCTATATTTTCAAGATAGTTATAGAAAATCTACTATACATAGTACAAATAAATTCCTTTTAAATATTTATCATGACTTTTGTGACCTTCCAATATTTTCAATATTTATATATACTTCATGCTTGAAATGTGAATTAATTTCTATATATTGTCATTTAAATCCTAGAATACCTTTTTATTATGAGCTTTATCAAAATTTTCATCTATGATTATGATTATATTCTGTTTTTTTCTCTTTATATTTTGATAGTTATTATGCACATAAAGATTGATGGTAGTTGTAACTTATTGATGTGTTTAATCAGCAACACATTCTATTTTTGCTTTGATAGTATCATTCCTTGTTTCTCTTTGTTAACACTTGTTATATTTTTCTGTATTCATTTACATCTAAATTTTTGTTTTAGACGTGTCTTTTATAAACACCATATTGTGAGATACTTTTGCTAACCAATCTAATTATTTATCTTCTAAGACATTAACCTATTTAGTTGTAATAGCATATATTTGGTACTTTTTATTTGTGATATTTTCTTTCTCATTTGTTTCTACATTCATCTGGATTTCAGGTTTCCTTATGCCGCTTTTTCCTTCTTCTGTTTAGGAGTTTGGAAGTTATTCATCCCATTCTTCCCTTGCTTGACTCTTGCCCTTGAATTTTAGAAAATATAAACTCAGGTTTTTCTACAATGGCGGTAATTGGTTCCAATAACTTCCCTCCCAACTAGATAGGATCCTTAGCATACCTAGCATACTACTAACACCTTCTAGATATCTAGAATTTTATTTACATATTTTTAAAATTTTTGTTTTACATTGAAGCTCAATTTTTATATGAATTGTATCTTATTGGCTCATACTCTTCATGAAAAAAAATTTTTCTTTAAGTTTCTTTGCTTACCACAGTGTTTTTCATTTCATTAATTTCTATTGGTCATATACATGTTTTGTTTCTAATAACTTTAAATAGTACTTTCAAAAAGCATTCATTAAAAATGCCTAAATATTGCCTTCAAATTTGACTGACAGTTTGGACACAGAACTTAGGTTAAAAATATTCATTTAGAACTATAAAGAAATCATTACATTTTGCTTATTTGCTCAAGAGTTCAAATGAGAATTTTATAGCAATTTGGATATATTTTTTAAAAGCTATTTTTTTGTTTCACCCTTTAGAAACTCTTGGAGATTTTCTCTATTGCTTAGAGGTCAGAAATTTCACATAGTACATCCAGCTCTCCACCATATACAGATATTTTACTGTCAATAGCATCATTTAAAAATATCTCAGGTTGAGAGGCCAACCAAATTACAAAGAAGGAAAAGAAAAATTGTATGTTTTAAATTAATCAAAAGGCAATACAATGTCACATAAAATCTACTACTTGGTGGTATTAGGCAAAAGAATATTTGAGTAATGTGAATGTTAAGAGATTATACAGCAGGGAGTGTATGATCCAGAAGAATATGATATACCAACCATTGGGCCCAACTAGGAAAAGGTTAAGATGGTTGGACATAAAGTTAAATTGCAAGGAACAGGTGTAACTAGAATCCAAGATAGTCTGCAAATAGATGGTAATTAGTTTCCTCATAATGAAACCCATTATTTTGTATAATGAATATGTGCTAATAATTATGAGTATTTCTAAAGTAAAAAAAAAAAAAAAGATGCATTTGCTACAACTGCTGCCTTCTCTTGTGATACCAATGGCTGGTTAAGAATGAAAACTGTTTGCTTTTTGCCTTTCAGCGAGTTCAGCAACCAGGAGAACTAGTTTGAGATTTGCCCAAGGCTCTTGCTATAATTTAGCACAGACCTTGGAGAACCTGTGACACATTGGAGTGTGAGTGTGTGTGTGTGTGTGTGTGTGTGTGTTGGGATGAGAATGGATTGATTGGCTTGTTAATTGTTCTGAAACACCTTTATAGAGCACACTGAAAGGCTGCCTAACATCTCGCACCACCTGGGCTATATAGTTAAAGCTGTAGGGTTCACAAAATTGTGAAAAAAGCCAGAATGAGAGAAGTCAGTCAGGAAATTTCAGCAGTTCTCAATATAGCTCTCCCCAACTTAAGATAAACCCTGGTATAATATATACAGAAATGTAGACAGTCACACTGGAGACAGCTAGGTCTTCTGCTGAACTTTTTATCAGATAGTAAAGCAAAACAATGGGCAGGATTTATTTTTATTATTATTTAAAAATAGACTAACTTGTAAGCCATTCTGTTACAAAGGAACGTGGCTGAATAGGTAGGAAACAGATTCCCCATTGTGAGTTCTCCTGATGGCTTCTGCAAGAATCATGGAGATGTCGATCACTTGTATTTTGGAGCAGTGCTTCATCTTATCCTCCTGAGGTATGGTATTGGTGACTACTACGGCTTCAAAGCATGCACCGTTGATGCGAACAATGGCTGGGCCAGAAAAGATTCCGTGGGTCAGGATCGCGTAAACTCGGGTGGCTCCCGCTGAGAGAAGTTTGTCGGCTGCATGGCAGATTGTACCACAGGTATCAGCCATGTCATCCACAAGGATAGCCACACGATCCTTCACATCTCCCACAAGCACCATACGGTCCACCTCATTGGCCTTCTTCCGTTCTTTGTGAATCAAGGCAAAGTCCACGTTCAAATGGTCCGCAATGGAAGTCACTCTCTTGGCCCCGCCAGCGTCCGGTGAAACTATGGTGCAGTCCTTCCACTCCGAAATGTTCTCCCGGATCCATTTCAGGACCGCTGGTTCTGCATACAAATTGTCTACTGGGATATCAAAAAACCCCTGAATCTGCGAAGCATGTAGGTCCATGGTGATGATGTGATCGGCGCCTGCTATCGACAGCATATTCGCTACAAGCTTAGCGGAGATGGGAGCCCGGCTCTTGTCCTTCTTATCCTGCCTGGCGTAAGGGAAGCACGGGATCACCGCAGTAACTCGGTTGGCCGAAGCAATCTTGCAGGCGTTAATCATGATCAAAAGCTCCATTAGACTGTCGTTGATTTCACCACAACCACTCTGAACGATGTACACGTCCTCTCCACGGACGCTCTCGCCGATTTCCACGCAGGTCTCCTGATTACTGAATTTCTTAGTCACCACCTTCCCCAGCTCCAGGCCCAGGCGGTCGGCAATTTTCTGGGATAAGTCCTGGTGCGAGCTGCCGCTGAAGATTTTGATATTTGGCATCTTGGCCAACTATCCTAACGATTCCTTGTCCACAGGTCTCCCCTGGGTCGGAAATTGAAACGGAAGTTGGATCAGAGACTCTAACGGTTTCCGGTTTCCGGTGGTTACTCAGCGGTTGCAGTCTGTTGTGCGCCATGGGGCTAAATGGACCTCAGGTCTTTTGAAGAATTCTTGATTGGCCTGTGCCTCACGCTTTTAAACTACAGGGTCAAGTCTGCTTAGTGCATGGAATTTACACTACTCTCATTATTAATGCTCTTATTATAATGTTTTCTTTGGCTGATTAGCCAAATTTGAAAACAAAACAAAACAAAAAAAACATAAAACTTCTAAATGCCCAAATAAATCACAAGTTTAAAAGGAACATTTACAGAGAGAAGAAAGTATATGCACAATTATTTTTGCACCATGTTCCTCCAATACAGTGAAAAAATTTAAAAAGTTGGAAAATGCTATAAATAGGCAATTCAGGGTAAAATATAAGTGGCCAATAAATGTGAAAAGCACAACTGATCAAGAAAATGCTAATTATTTTCACACATCAAGCAGGCCAAAATTATAATACGGACAATGGTTTCCAATAGAACGTGTAAATGTGTGTGTTTTGCAAGGGTAATTTTGTATGAAAACTTTGGCTCATGTCTGCTTCTAGGGATCTATTCCAGAGAACTATTCACAAGCACCCTCAAAATATATCAATGATAATTATTGATGTATTAATTCATTCAATAAATAGTCTATATCTTCTGTATGTCAGGTGCTACTATTTCTAGAGCATAAGATGGTGACAAAGATTAACCACCCTAGAACTGTTTACAAAAGCAAAATCTGCAAACCAACAAGTATTTATCAATAAGTGAATTATCATGAAAATTTTTTTGGTCATTTACTTATTTACAAAGCATTTCTTCATAAATGATTGTGATACATTATTCTAGACTTTGGAATAGAGAGTATTTGAAAAATTCTGTTTTGTAGACCTTATTTAATACAGTTATTGGTCAGTAAATGCACCCATTGAGGGAATTGATTTATGTGTAATCATATGGAAATGTCTTCAGGGTGTTTTTTACAGGTATAAAGCTAGTCACAGAATGTATGAATAAGTTTATATTTATGTATTTAAGATTATGTAATATTCAAAGTATCAAATAAGTATGAATGTGCCTTTGGAGAGGGGAGTTGAGAATGAAGGACTGTTGTATTTTGATGCCATCCATTAATATGGTATTGAACTTTTATTATTTTTATAACAGAAAGACAAAATTTATTTGGTAACTAAGTTCTTATTAGAAAATTTTAAATTTACAGCTTCCACAGTGTATTGCGGGTTGAGATAGTGGGACAGGAAGTAGAAAGGACCATAGATACTAAGAATTTTAACAATGAAATGGCTTTTATATAAAAATAATGGAGGCATCAATAGCAGATCATACATTCAAATCATGTTAATGGTTGCCAGACATTTAGATTCTGTAATGTTTTTATTTAGCCAAAAATCAAATTGTCATCATTCACATTTTAAAATTACCAAGTTATTGTTGAATGTATCTTTTCACCCAACTTCTGAGTTTCCCCACAGGGTTGGATTCATTGATAGGATAAGCTCAGGGATGGAGTAATGCTGGGGCAGGTAACAGAGATGAACAAGATTCAGCAATACCTGTGAAACACATTAGTTGACTATAAATAAGGTGCTTTGATATTTTGAATGAGCTATTGTTATAAAGCCATACAAACAGCTAAAAAATGCTACTTATTAAAAATGCAACTTCAAAATGATTTGCCAGGGTTGGGGCTGTAGCTCATCAGTAGTGCACTTGCCTAGCATGTGTGAGGCACTGGGTTTAATCCTTAGCACCACATAAAGATAAATAGAAAAAAATAAATAAGTAAAGGTATCTGTCCATCTACAATTACAAAAAATATTTTGTTTTTTAAATGACTTTCCAATGATCCAATCACATCTCTTATCACGTGAAAATGCTTTTTTTCTCCTTAATTCAGATTCTTCATGGTTGACAATGCACATAGGCTGCTTTCTGTCTGCCACCCTTCATTTACATTCTTTCCTATCACAAAAGTCAAAAGAACCATCTATACCATACAATTCATTCTAAGTCAGAATATATACAATGATTTATAAAGAAAATTCTGTGGCTTATTTTAGAAGCACTAAAAAATACTTGTAGCTTCAATTAAATGGATTTTTCTCTTAGTGTTCTTAGTGTGTCACACGTTTTCTATGAAAAACAAAACAGATTTTTAAATAGATTTAATATTACCCAAATAGGACTGAATGCTAATGTAAACATTTAAAAACCATAGTTGGTTGCATTTTTTCTTGAGGTGTTAAATAGGAGACATTTTTGTCTTACTGCTATTTTTGCTCCAAGCTCTGGCTGTTGCTATACCTCATAGTTCCAGGGATTTGTCTAGAATCATAAAATGTAAAAGATGGAAATGGCCTTAGAGACCACCCACTCATATTAATATTCCAATTCACAGAAAGGAAACTGAGACCCAGGGAAATGAAGCAACTGGCCTGTGATCTATTGGATAATTAGAGGCAGAGTATCTATTGCAATATGGAATTCCTGAATTTCCAAATATGGTCTTTTTTTGCTTTTTCACTTTAGGCCTTTTTGAAAATTTATTTTTGAAGTTTATCAAATTGAAGAAAAATTTTAAAAGTGGTGCAGAAATATTTGCATAAAATATTTCCTCTTTTTTTTGAGTAACCATAACAAAGAACAAACATGAAACCATAAACAACAATTTTTTTTTTTTGCTTAAAAACAGCAGCAACAACAAAACAAAACCTACAGAAAGAAAGAAATCATTAGTAGTGTCTTGGAATATCTTTGTTATTTTGACATTTTTATTACCTGGATAAGCTGCCAGGGGATTTGGCTCCTGTTTACTTTGTTCTCTGCAGATTGAGAGAGACATCTGTCTTATCATTGACTGTCTCTGACAAAAGTTACAGGTAGGAATAATGCCTATAGAACAACACATTGTATTTGGGGCCTTGTTTCTTAATAAATTGCTCTGGAAGTGAAAATTGCGATAGAGAGAAAATGCCTTATCTTCCTCCTTCCCAAGGCAAACACATTTAAATACCATGTCTATAGATCTATGAGAATTGTTGCATTTTGAAGGTCTTTTGAGTCAATACCCAGAATATATATGTTACCTTGGTAATAGTTTCTTGCTTTACTGATTATTCTTTTACCCTTTACAATTCCAACATACATAATTCAAAGAGAGCCCTGATGCTTGATGGGCTAAAGAGAAAAAAAATTCAGTTAGTTCTTTCAGAAAGAAGAGAAAAATGGTTGTATTTTAAGTGAACTAAATGCTTTCGCTAAACATACTTGCAGTTGACAAAATGCTAGATGTTTAGGTGGCAATTATAGTTCTTTGATAAACTGTCAAATCTTGTCACAACACATGTTACAAACAAGGACGGATTTAGATGTCCTTTATGGCAGCTTTGTGTAGGTTGGGAATGTTTGGCAGTTAATTTCACACAAGGAACTTATTTTTCTTTCCAGCAGTTATCTGCATGTTTATTAGGAAGGGTTTCTTTGTGCCTTTAATCTTATTCATTTGACTCTTAGTTCCAGATCATTATTGTAACATTACCTTACCTCATTTATTTTGTTCATAATAATCATCTGCAATACTTTGAGAAAACAGTTTCCCACAGAGCTTCACATTGGTATAAATCCTTTAAAGTTTGTTTTGTGATTGTTTACAATTGAAGCTGACTACTCTGCATGTTTACTGGGCTTTTCCTTGGAAATCTGTCCTTTTATATAATAGATGTGTGGATAGCAACTAGGTAAACAAAGCTGAGTGAAACAAATAGGAGAAAAGGTTGTGATTCAGAAATATGACTTTAATTTTGAGTGTTATGTTAGACTCCAGAGGGTATTTTTGAAATGTACTTTGGGGAACTTAAAAAAAATTGTGATGAGTTTTAAAATCCTAACATAAAATAATAATCTTGGAGCAACAATGAAATTACATGAACTGAATGCTACCTCATTATAATAATAGACAAGTCCATATAAAGAGATTTCATAACAAGTTGCAAATAATATTTACAGGAAATATTTGAAGGCATTTTAAAGTGCTTGTTGGTAAGTGATATGTTCCTTCTCATGCAGACTATCAATTTCATTAAATTAGTGGAAGGTTGTTAATTAGGTCCTGACAAAATACAAGTTCTATCTGAATTGTTCTTGTGTCTTTTAACAACTTGTTCCCCCTTCAATGGTGACCGTTTATTTAATCCTGATAAATGAGAGACCAGTTATCCATTTATGTAAGCACAACTGAATGCCTTGTGTTTTGGAATGGTTTTGCAGTTCTCAAACTTCAGGGCCATCAAGATCACTGGAGAATTTTTTAGAACACAGATTCTTGAGTTTCATCCCCAGAGTTTCTGATTAGTATACCTGAGGTGGAAGCCTAGAGTTGGTGTTCCTAATAAGATCCCAGGTGATAGTGGTGTTGCTGTTCTATTAACCAAACTTTTGAAAATCTATTTTATCTCTCAAGTTTATTGTCTAGATACTTTCCACAATATACTGTTATTGTATTTTTTATTATATATAATATCTTTAGTATGATTCTGTTTGTCATTACTAGTATTAGATTTTTGTAATTGTTCTTTTTTAAAAAATAAATTTCAGCAGAAGTCCATTAATTTTTCCAATATTTAAAAAAAGAAAACTCTTAATATTTGAAGTGGTTGATTGATGTAGTTCATTGGCTGCTTGAACTTTGTTGAATTCAAGATTGTTTCTATTATTCATTTCGTCCCCTCTTTGAGTTATTTTGCTATTCCTTTTCTAACTATTTGAGATGTATGCTCAGCTTGTTACTTATTACTCTGGAAGGCGATACATTTTTCTTCTACATATGTGGTTTAAGTATCAAATCCAGGACCTCATACATGCCAGGAAAGCACTCCACCACTAATGTATACC